ACAATCTCAAATTTATCCTGCAAATATAATGAATGCTTTTATTAATATCAAAATGCAAATAATGGTGATAATCTAATTATCTGAAAAGTAGCAAATACATGTACCCGAACTGCTTGAATGATTGGGGCTTTATGAATCTCATCAATCTTGTCCCACTTTTTTATACCAATGATTGGAGTAGCCATCCTTATATGTAAGCCAAGTTCATTTGCAAATGGAGTGGAATAAGGCCCTACTGGCACCTTTGCATCTGCAGGGATCCAAACAGGAAGTTTTTTACCACCATTGTTAGCTATGAGACGTGCTATGCTCTTCCCTCGAGTTTGACCCCTGACTTGTCTAGAACGAGTACGCAAACTAGTGGTAGATGGTACATCATGGGTAGTGGTTGCATTTTAGATGGTGCAGCCTGAGTAGTAGCTACATTTGTAGATGGTGCAGCCTGGGTTGTAGTTGCATTTGTAAATGGTGCAACCTGGGTAGTAGTTGCATTTGTCGGTGGTGCGGGCTAGATACTTAGAGCATTTGTAGATAATACACTCTGAGTAGATGGGGTTAAATTAGATGGTGCATGCTGAGTAGGGGCAGCAATTCTAGCTACAGCTTGTTAGGAAGGTAGAGGAACTTTGGATGATGTTGCACGTCGAACTTTACCAGGGCCTGCCATCTAGCACAACAACTCAATAATTACATGTGTGAAGCATATGTAAAATAAGCAATTACATTAATATCAATGGCTATATAATAGAATCAATATCAAAATATAAGTGATAACTAAACAATAACATAACATAAGAAACAAAAAAAAAAAAATAGACAAAGAGAGAGACAGATAAGGACACACACAAACACATATATACAAAACAAAACAAAAAAAGAAAAAAAAAATCTTTTTGAATTGTCATTGTACTCAAACTCAAAGGCACTTAAACAACAATGTCATAAAAACATAAAAATGACACAACAATTAAAGTTCTATGTCAAAATCTATATTACAATCAAAATGATTATGTAGCTCATCTTCTCGGATAATCAATGCTCGTAGTAATCATCTTCATTATCGCACCCCTCTTCCTCATCTATTTCAATCATTATGTTAGTATTCATATAAGTGTAGCTGAATAAAGTTTGGAATTATATCTTACATGTTCTTTAAACCACTTGGGGAATTCCTTTTTCTGTCTATTTGTGATGTCACGTACACCTTTATTTTCTAAAAGATTCTTGTGTTGCCTACTTACAAACATATGATTCATAAGTAACATATTGTATTGAAAACATAATTCTACAAAAAAAAAACAATATTAAGAACGTACTCTAGATAATGGTCCAGCTCAAGGCTATTATTCAAGACAAACCAATGAGCCATTTCACGTTCTTTTTTAGACACGTTAGAAACCCTTGTAATTAGCCCAAAGGAACGAACATTTTACGTGAAGACCTCTAACCCCGACTCATGCACACTAACATCGACATTCCGTTCCTCTCGATGAAATACAGTTTTAATCCCACCCAGATACATTGAGCAAAATGTGAGAGACTCCTTGACAACATAAGCTTCTGTGATCAAACCTTCTAGACGAGCTCGATTTGCAACATATCCTTTTAAAGTTCCAAGTAGCCTATGAAACAAACAATAGAATAATCTTATTACACACACACTCACATTTTTATAAATATATATACAGGTTGTGCTACAATTTAAGTATTCTAGTGTTTTAATAAGTTAGTAAGTACCTTTCAATGGAGTACATCCACCGATATTGCACAGGCCCACCAAGAATGGCTTCACGCGGCAAATGAATCGCCAAATGGACCATCACATCAAAAAACGCTGGTGGAAAAATTGTTTCTAACATGCATAGTATGAATATTATGCGATATTCTAATATTTCCAAATTCTTCATCTTCAATGTCTTCGAGCAAAGCTCTTGGAAGAAATTTCCTAACTCAAATAATGCGACACAAATATCATTGTGAAGATATCCACGCATTCCAATGGAAAGAAGTCGCTGTATGAGGACATGACAATCATGACTTTTTAGGCCTATTAACTTATCACCTTTTGTATTCACACACCTTGAGATGTTTGCTGCATAACCATCAAGATACTTAATTGACTTTAAAAACTCACAAAAACCATATTTTTCATCTGAGGACAAAGTGTACAATACTGGGGGCTTTTCAAAAGACCATCGGCACGCCTTTTTAAGTGCAACTCCTTCCTTATTTTCATATCTTCGAAATCCATGCGTGCTTTTTCTATGTCTTTGTTCTTCCCATCTATACTCAGTAATGTTCCAAGCAAACTATCACATATATTCTTCTCTATGTACATAACATCGAGGTTGTGTCGGAGTTTAAGTGTTTTCCAATATGGCAACTCAAAGAAGATGCTTTTTTTTTGTCCAGTTCAATACTGGATTTTCCCTTTTTCTTTTCTTATTGGTTGGATGCTTTCCAAATGGTTTGAATGTCCCTGAATCCAATTGTTCTAAGATTTGTTCCCCTGATAACTCTAAAGGTCTTGACAGGAACTCAGTCTTACCATTATAAAGTCGACTCCTCCGCCAAAGGTGGTCATCAGGCAAGTAACGACGAGCACCTGTGTATCCTATCTTACCTCTCAACCGTTGTGAGGAAGCATTTTTGTTACAGGTGGGACAAGCCAAATAACCTTTCGTACTCCATCCTAACAAGTTGCCATATGCAGGAAAGTCATTAATTGTCCACATAACAACTGCATGCATTTGAAAACTTAATTTAGTTGAGGCATCATAAATAAGCACACCATCTTCCCACAACTTCTTCAACTCATCAATTAATGGTCACATGTAAACATCGATATCTCTCCCTGGTGCTTGTGGTCCAGGGATAAGCAATGACAGCATACTAAATGATTGTTTCATACATTTCCAAGGAGGCAAGTTGTAAGGCATAATAATCACAGGCCACATACTGCACGAGTTGCTCATGTTTCCAAAAGGATTGAAACCATCAGTGGCCAACCCTAACCTCACATTTCGAATCTCTTGGGAAAACAAAGGATGTTGCCTATCAAAATCCTTTCATGCCTCACCATCAGCCGGGTGTCTCAATATCCCATCATCTACTCGTTTCTCTTTATGCCATCTCATATCTATTGCTGTTTTTCTCGACATATATAATCTCTGCAACCTTGATGTCAACGGGAAGTATCTTAAGGTCTTGTGAGGAATTTTTTTACCTTTTCCATAATTCGACTTGTATCTAGACTCTTGACAAATCGGACAATTCTCTAAATTTGCATTCTCTTTCCAGAAAAGTGCACAATCATACTTGCATGCATGAATCGACACATATCCTAAGCCTAAGTCACGTAAGAATTTTTTGGCTTTATAAAGGGTCCATGGAATCACTTGATCACTTACCGGTAGAAGGTCCTTTAATATCCCCAACAACATGTTGAAAGACTTATTGCTCCACTTGTTCAACACCTTCACATGAAGCATCTTAACAACAAATGATAAAAGAGAAAACTTACGACACCCAGGGTACAACTCTCTTTGAGCATCATTCAACAATTTATTAAAGTTGGGAACGTCCTCTTTTTCAACACTATTAGCCACATCATCGTCATTGTCATTGCCATTGTCACCGTCCTCCTCATCCTCTTCATTTTCATCATCATTTATGGTAGTCCCCATGTAAACGTCTTCTAACAAATTTAGGATTTCATCTTGATCTTCGCATGTCTCTGCTTCCATTCTATCCCCAACACTTCCAAAGTCATTGTGGTTGTCATCATTCAATGCATGAGATTGATTCATGGGAACAGATTCCCTGTGATGCACCCAAGTTTTATAAGAATGGGACATCCCTTTCACAACTAAATGATACTCCACAATTTTACAAGTATGTCGTTCACAATTCAAACAGTCCATACAAGGGCAACGAATCTTATCATTTGGCCCTACATTCATCATTGCAAATTGAACAAAAGCCTTCACCCCATCTCGATACTAGGAACTCATCCTATTCTTAAGTAACATCCAACTCTTGTCCATATTTGGTCACCTACAAAGCCATGGTTATGTGAAATTCCTTTGAATTAGAGAATTTACAAGATTATGGTTCCACATCCCTTTCATGACCAAATGATGCATCACAATAGTAAGTGATAAACAAGAATTACTATTCAAGTAAAATATGCAATTTAGAGTAAAGGGTGAAAAAAAAAATCATATAGTAAGTGATGAAATTGATATATAGATTATAATTGCTATATAAATTGTGGTCTTGAAATTGTTACATATTAGTTTACTTATTCTTGGAAAAGCATATTCATCTATTTTAGCTATTTGACGTATTTCTTTGTTGAGTTAGACATATAATTGAGATTTTGAAACCAAATATAGCAGCCATCCCTAATCATCTCATGTGGTCTTCTAGTGTTTACATGTCTGTTAGTATTCCTTGAGTCATCTAAGTGTTTGTCATATCATGAATGCTCAAAACATTAGGTAAAAAATGTGAAGCTTCTAATAGTCACAAATTTAATAAAAAAAAAAGTGCCAAAATTCTCTAAATAAATTAAAAATGCCCTAAAATATAGTCAAAGCTTACTTGATGTAGTAATTGCCCCCAACGAATGATTGCAGCTTTTTTATCTCTTTGCATTAGCCAATAACCTATAGCATTTTAATTGTAAATCATAGTTTAAATTAAAATCGCACTATACATGAAATTAATGGAGAGTGGACATGAAATGAATGTTATATGCCTCTACTAATGGCCCCGTTTTTAGCAGGATATGACAAGTATGGAGTATATTCAACAGTAATAAATCATGTGCAGCTTGTCAAAGATTTGAGAAATTCAAATTCAACTCAATTACCTAAACAAGCTGAGGTTAAAGATCTGAGAAATTCAAATTTAACTCAATTACCTAAAGGTGCTGAGGTCAAGGACAAACTAGAGCTTTGAAAAACAATTAAACTTGAATTAATATGCACTTTCACAGAGAGAGAGAGAGAGAAGATTACAAGCATAGTATTAAAAAATGTTGATATTATTAACAATTTTCATATATCAAGTAGAGAGAGACAGAGAGAGTTGTTACCAATTGCTACAGTGACAAAATAAGTTAATTCGGCTTAATACATGGATCCTAATATATCCTAGCTCACAAATTTATCAGCAAGTAAATAAATGACATTAGACCAAACTCCAAGAAAGAAGAGGAAAAGCCAGTGCATGTTCAATAGATCTCTAAAATTCAAATTGAAACATGGACGTGCCATGTATGGAATTAGTACAATAAATGAAGAAAGTGTTATTATTAATAATAATATTTTTGCTTACATTTCTATTTTATTTTGTAAAAAATGTGTAATTAAATTTACTATGGATCCAATTCCACTCTCAAAACCAACAATCACATAGTCTTACTGCCCCAATTCAAAAAGAAAAAAAAGAAAAACACAGCCTTATTACCATTAGTAGTTTTGTGAATTTAGTTTTTTGGTTAGGTAATGTGTCATGATGATGTAGCAATTTTGTGAATTTAGCATCAAACGGCCTGTTTTCAATCTTCAACTCAATATAAATTTCATAGCCTTACAACATAATGATGCAATAAACAGATCATATTTCAAAGAATTCACCAACCAAAAAACACTTTTCAATAGTGAATCATTATGTCATGTTGTGTTTATAGTCAAATAACTTCAATTTTTTTAAGCTGTACAAATTTCAAAAAAGTAAATAAATAAACAAAAGTTCCATGAAGACCCTACATGGACATTATGCATCAATCACTACAATGAATTTAACATTGCTGTCCAGGTTCCACATGTATTATATTTTGAACTAAAGAAATTAGCTTCTTCATAAAAGTGCCAAAACCACAGCATCAATAAAGCACGTTGAACACTTAATCCAAGTTTACTATGAAAAGCAAATATAGCATGCCTGATGAGAGAAAGAAATTACTCAAATACCACATTCATAACAAATTTTTGATTAGTGAATATTATTTTAGGACAATAAATCTATGAAGAAAAAAAAATAATTTTGAACCCAAATCAGTCCCAAAATCAAAATGAACAACGAAGTGTTGTCTATGAGCCTTTGATAATGAACAACAACAACAAACAAACAATGAAGTGTTGTCCTGTGTTCCAAAATCAGTCCAAAAATCAAAATATCAACCCCAAAATCAGTCCCAAAATTATAATATCAGTCCCCAAAAAATACAAAATCAGAATATCAAACTCCCAATCCAAAAATCAGTTCCAAAATCAGTCCGAAATTCAGAATATACCAGTCCCGAAAATCAATTCCAAAATCAGTCCAAAAATTAGAATATATCAGTCCCGAAAATCACAATATCAATCCAAAAATCACAACATCAGTCCGAAAAATCACAATATCAGTCCGAAAAATTAGATTGATGACAAAGAAGAAAAAGAGGAAGATGAGAGAGTGTGAGAGAGTGTGGGAAAAATCAGTCCCAATATCAATGTTGTGTTGTGTTCTGCCATGCCGAACAAGAGAAAGAAATTGATGATAAAGAAGAAAGAGAGGAAGATGAGACAGTGTGAGAGAGTGAGAGTGAGAGTGAGAGTGAGAGGGAGAAGGAGAGGGAGAGGGAAAGAAAGACGAAGAAGAGGGAGAGAAAACATACCTCTTTGTCTTCTGTTGTGCCGCTTCAGGTTGTGGAATGAGATGAATATTATTAGGTCAATCTTGCTTATTCACCTAAAGGTCATTAATAATAATAATAATAATAAAAAAAAAAAAAAACTGCTTTTCTAGTTTAAGAATGATGTATTGATGAGTGTTGAACTCAGGAACTTAAGAGACCCAAGTTGTCATGGATCAACGAATCTCAACTTCTTTCCATTAATGCAGGCTCTTTGTTGCTCTTTTTGCAGGTAATGTCAAAATCTAAGAATGAATTGGGTGCATCTAAACTGGAGTAGAAAGTTCAGGTGGCCTCTAATTGATCACATCTCTACTTTTGGTATGGTCTGTTTGGCTCTTTAAAGACTGCTGTTTTTTCATGTATCCGAAGGCTACTTGATGTTTTTGTGCTAGAAATGCGTCGACGTGAAGATGTGAATATTTGGGTAGACCTGCTTGAATAGCTTCAGGTTTGAAGTATTATGGAAACTGGTTTAAGTTTTTCCTTCCCGTCTTTTCTTGATATTAAACAATTATCCCCAGCTGAGTGAACTGATGTATTGTGATTGGTGGAACTCCTTTTTGATTTGCAGTTAATATTTATCTGTTTGTGATTCTTTCATTTGTTATTTTGCGTATACATGCGTTTTGTGTTTTTTTTTTTTAGAAACGACGTCTTTTGTAGAAAAAAAGAATAAAATAGTGGATAAATTACCAACACGCTCTTAAGGTTTACTTAAATTATAAATTATCTCTTGTAGTTTTAAAAATTATATTATGTACCCTAACGTTTCTAATTTCTTAACAAGTATGTCATTTTATTAATAGATCATCAAACTAATTAAAAGTTTTTAATAATGTTAAAATTTTATTTCAATCAATAATTTTGATAATTTTATTATTATATAGGTGAACAGTTAGAAATTTAATTTTTACAATTAATTTTGTTAAATAAAAAATTCTAATAGGAAGGTTTTTGTAATTTTTCAAACTATAAGAAACAATTCATATTTTAAGTAAACCTTGTATTTGTAATTTACCGTAAAATAATTTTTCATTTTTTTGGGTGAATAAAAAGCAGATCTTCAATTAATGTTTGTGATATCCCAAATAAACCCCCTTCTATGAATTTTTTTTTTTTTTTGATGACTTTTTTTTTTTTTTAAATTTTTGTCAACAAATTTTACTTTTTCAGTCCATTTTATGTTGATAAATTTAAAAGTTTTTTTTTTTTTTGAAAATTCCAAAAGAAAATTTGAAAAGCTAAGTAAAAAAAATCTTCTACTTTTTGTCTTTTCTAAACTTTTTTAGAATTTTTTAAAAAAATTTATGTTTTTGGTTTGTCTCATCAAATAGAATCTAAAAGTCTAAAAGTTTTTTAATTTTTTTTTTTTTAAAGTTTACTAAAGTTGAAAATAAGCTAACAAAAAAAACCCACTAAAAAAGTAAACCTCAATCACACTTCCCTTCCCCCAAACAAGAAAAAGAAAATATCATAATAAAGTAAAAATAAGGTGTGTTAGGTTTTTATTCTTGGCAATTCCGTTTGAAAACTTCTTTCAGTTATAATTTTATTCGGTCTTTTCTTTCAGTGAAGCTTTGGTGGATTCTAGAGTGGCTCATCGTCATGGATTCGACATCGGCGTTGTGAATTCAACATTAGGCAAGACAATTCTGAGGTAAAGACTGTGGTGGAAGGTGCATATAGGGGTCAGTTCAGTTCGGGGTGTGGATTCGCTAGGTAATTACAAATACACTTGTGTAATTTCTTTTGTCTTCTTAGTGGATTGTTTTGTGGCTTTTGCCCGTGATTTTTTTATCACAATTGGAGGCGCTCCAATTGTGGTTTTTCTACGTTAAAATCATTGTGTCAATTTGTCTTGATTGTTTAATTGTGATTGTTATTTACTGGTTAAAATTGATACATAATCACAAATCAATATTTAGGAAATTTCTAGATTTTTCAATTGATTTCAGAGCAGGTCGCTCTATTTTTTTTTTAAAAAAAAATCTTTTAGAGCGAGATCTTGCTTGATTTGTGATAATGGATTCAATTCGTGAGGGAAATTCCATAGTTCGGCCACTCCTACTTGACGGATCCAATTATTCTTTTTGAAAAGCTCGGATGAGATTGTTTTTAAAATCTATTGATTAAAAAGTTTGGCAATCTGTCATGTATGGGTGGACCGAACCGACGATTACCGTTGATGAAGTAACCTTCCCCAAACCAATTGATAAGTGGGACACAATCGATTACCAAAATAGTAGCTGGAATAGTAAAGCTATCAATTCTCTCTTTTGCACCGTTACACCTGAAGAGTTTAGTCGTATTTGTAATTGTGAAGTCGCAAAAGAGGCTTGGGATATCTTACAAACTATTTATGAGGGCTCTCCTTTAATTAAATGCTCAAAATTTCAAAGGCTCGTGTCTAGTTTCAAAAACCTTTCAATGAAAATTAGTAAGACCTTTGATGAATTTTATGCAAAATTAAGTGACATTGTAAATTTCAGTTTCAATTTAGGTGAAAAAATACTAGAATCCAAGATTGTAGGAAAAATTTTGAGGTCCTAGCCCGATCGCTTCCAACCAAAAGTTACGGCTATTGAGGAGACTCAAGATGTTAATAACCTCAAGTTGGATCATTTGGTTGGAAAGGATTCTGATGAGGATTGTCAGATTGATTCCAAGATTACAAATGCATTCGTAAAACAATTTAAAAAAAAAATTCTGAAAAAAGAATTCTAATCTTTTGGAATCAACTCATAAATCCAAAGGCAAAGATAAACTCAAAATTAATTCTATAACCAAGAAGGAGAAAGGAAAGATACAAGGGAACTCTGAAAGAGTCCATTGTTATGAATGCCAAGGATTTGGCCACTTTGCTCAAGAATGCCCTAATCATTTAAGGAAGAAGAAAGCCTTCGCTATCACTTGGGATGATGAATCCGAGTTCGATAAAGATGAAAGTGACAACGAAGCACAAGGTGAAAAGGGGCATGAACAATTCCTTACTTTCATGACAGCTTCCGAAACTGAAGGACAAATAGAGTATCCGAAGAGGCCGAAAACCTTTCAATGAAAAATAGTGAGACCCTTGATGAATTTTATGCAAAATTGAGTGACATTGTAAATTTCAGTTTCAATTTAGGTGAAAAAATAGCAAAATCCAAGATTGTAGGAAAAATTTTGAGGTCCTAGCCCGATCGCTTCCAACCAAAAGTTACGGCTATTGAGGAGACTCAAGATGTTGATAACCTCAAGTTGGATCATTTGGTTGGAAATTTCCAAACATATGAGGCACATAAAAATTTCAAAAAAAAATAAAAAGATGATATTGCTTTAAGTAGTGCTCAT